TTTGGCAAGACGCCCTCGAAGTAACGTATAGGACATGACACACACGTCGCTCCATCTGTTAAACAAAAGGCTCCCAACTGATTTTTGATTACAACCAACGTTACTAGAACCACTTAGTTGGGAAACTGCCATTGAGCCTGCTTTAAAAAAGTGGCTCCGATCCGTACTAGAGAACCGACCTATAATGGCGATCGCAACGTCTCCATTTTTCCCGCAGCGTCCACTTCGGGGACTGCACGGCTTCACGTCGAGTAGGGCAAGCGCCGTTAACGCCATTTTGGAGTGCCATCGCGCAGTAGCTATGTAAAGCAACTTTCATATTTCAACTCGTCGCTAAAGGGTGGCGCTGTTATCATATTTAGCTCGGTCTCGGTGGACGCCAGCGGCCTAGGTTTCAAGGCTGAATTTCCCAACGGAGGGTTTTAGGAACGTTGATTACAACTCACCCGCACATTGCTCGATGCCGATGTTGCTCGTGAAACGCGCTGCTTTCTCGGTAATGACGACCGGATCGAAGACTTTATACGGTATTCTCTGTTTTACTTTAGGTCAGATTGTATCAAATGGTAGGATCCAATAAAGCCAATCAAGCGGTGATGAAAAGTGCATCGTCATAGCGCTCGTCCGTCGTCTTTGTGGGGTTTCCCATCGCGAGCTAAGCCGATCACGCATAGAACAAAGCGAGGGATGGCGGCGCATTCACTGTGCTTAATTGGCTTTAGTCAGAGCAGTGTATACAGAGAGTTTGGTCAATGGGAGGCGCGGGCAGAGCCACGGCTTGAACCAAACGCAGAAAGTGGGCTTTACATGCTCCCTTGGGCAACCAGAAGCCTAAAAGAATCCCCTAGCGGTGGTAGCAAGAAGCTGGTTTGGTCAAAGGTATATGTTGGTATATGGTTTTAAAAAGCACGTAAGAGTGAAGTGTAGTAACCCGTCATGGTTGAAAATAAGGTGCACGTGATGTTTCGATCACGATCATGCAGAAAGATGTAAGAAACTCTGTTTTGCTCGGACAGAGTGTGACCGCTCGGACGGCAGATTCCCGGCTCTCGGCGCTTGGCGTACGGATTACGTCGATCGTTTGTTTTGATAGTCGCACGGTTCCACAAGATTTTGGGTGACCATGATTGAAACATCACGTGCACCATATCTTTAGTCACCAAGAGTTACTCCGACCCACTTATCAAGTTTGTTTCTCGCGACCACCGCCAGGGTATTATTTCCGGCTTCTGGTTGGCCACATTCAAATTTGTGAAGACGCCCTGGAACACGCCCAGCCCGCTTCGGCCAACGTCGCCTCCTTATTTGTCTCCTATACTTCCCAACGAATAGCAAAACTCTATACATATACGGCTGTGGTAGCAAACGCACAAAAAAGACGAGTACCGTGACGATGCACTTTTCACTATGCTCGATTGGTTTTACGGGATGGTGACACTGGCAGCGCTCGGATATCAAGTGAAATAAAGAATAGCGAAGTGTGCCCCCCTCCCCCTCCCTCCGGAAAAGTTTATGATTTCCCATATCAAACATTTTCTTTTTTTTTTCGCATGACGGTATAGAGACTATAGACCAGGGGTGGCCAGGCTGGCCTGGCCTAAGAGCCGCAAACCAAACCACGGAACTTCTAAAACCCACGTGAGGGGAGGGAGGGGGGGGGGGGGGCAAACTTAACTTTGGTTCAGAGTCTGACTGTGCGTATGGGGGCACAAGGCTGGTACGACTGTACGTATGGGAGTACAAGGCTGTCAAACTGCAAGCTGCAGTGTGCTTTCTTCTGAAATCTTTTCTTCTTTTTTTTTCTGGGGAAACGCAGAAAGGGGCGAATGGGGGGGGGGGGGGGGGGGGGGGGTGTCCCCTTACGAGGGATCTGCGGGCCGCACTTGGACCAGCAAAGAGCCGCGGTTTGGCCACCCCTGCTATAGAACTTTGCCTCGCCTATCACCCGGCAAAAAATGCTGAGTCACTGAGCTCTGAGCGCATGCGCAGCGTCTGATATACCGTAAAACAGAGCAACAGAGCATCGTCAGAAGGCGGTCCACAGCCCAGCAGACAAGGGTGGCAGCTCGTAGAAGACGAATATGCCGCTCGCGTTCACAAATTAGTTAAACATATTCAACGAAATCTGCTAATGACAATCGCTCCTTTGTATTTTGAACGAGTGGCTATATTTTTCGTTCCCAAAGGCCGATTCCAGCGAGCGCTCGTACGCAACCATCGGAGAGCGCGATGATCTCGGAATATCCGGCGTCTCCAGCACGTTCGTTACGTCAGGTTTTTACTTCACGGGCCAAGCTACAGCAGAGCCGCTGCTGCAGTGCTACGTCAGAGCTTTTCGTTGGTGTATAGCGTACGCATTGGTATCCTTGTGGGAATGTATAAATCAAGAAATCAAAAGCGTACAGCGAGCTTAAATTTTCCCTTTGAACTTGTTCAAAGGGCATTGTCGGAGATAGAATTTAAATGTGGCGCCTACCAGTGAACGGTCTCCACAAAAGTTCCCGTGAAATAATGAGAGCGTAATTTTGAATTGAGCGAAAAAGAAAACTAGAGGTTTATATACGAACTTTTTTAAAAACATAAAAACTAAAACTTTTTTTTTTTTCGGAAGTCAATAGCTTTATGAGAAACACTTACAAAAATATCATTTAGTTTTTATTTAAAAAAAAAATTCAGTGTGTACCAGAGGTAGTATATTAATTTATACTTGTGATAAAATTAATTTGCTGATTCTAAAACTGCATAGCTTATAGGAGTTAAGCACGGATGAGTCGAAGAGATCGAAATCCCTAATTCGTAATGTGCTTGATTACTTCAAAACTGCTAAGGGCAAGTGCAAACTTCCTCATTCTGGAAGGGGAAGCAGAATATCAGTCAGGCATGCATTAAAAAGGGCTTCACGTGTCACATTTCTTTTTCTGGCACGCTGAAAGCACTTTTGCGTCCTTTAATGCCGTGAACATTTATTGCGCCTAATCAATTAGTTTATAGTGCAATCGACTGATAGGTTAGATACGTCGAGTATTCAGGGAAAGCACGGAATGCAATCGTCATAGATATCTTTTAAGAGGAAGAAATTATCTACGACTTTTTGCCAACTTAGAAGAGTTCGAACGCTTATAGTGTGTTACGTTAGTATCCAGAAGTAAGCGCCGTATTTGCAAGCGAGTGGAACAGTGAAAATTAAAAGAAAAGGAGCAGACGACCACTCTCTTGCAGTTAGAAGCAACGTTCACTCTCATTGATTTAAAGAGAAAAAAACACTCTACTTAGAAACCATATGTGTTATGTCTAAATGAAGGAGAGCGGTCGTCGGCCCTTGTCCGTCGTGTTTTTATACTCTCAAACTAAAGCACTCGCGGAGTACCCTCATCTTCGCAGAGTGAAGCATGTACAAACTGGCTACTGCTCGCAGCACTGTCTGTCACATATATGTCTGTTTTTTTTTCATCCACGGGGCGTGTACGCGTTTGTAAGGCGCGACCATGTAATGCATGCGAGGAGCATAAAGCGTCGCTGCAGCGTTCGCTGATGCACGAACCCCCGTCGCTTACAAGCGGGTGTCAGTATCCGTCGACATGCAGAAAAAAATCCTCTGAAGGTACCAAGGAAGTTTAAATAAACAAACAAAATGCAGCTCGCGCTTATAGTGTCCATTCAAAACTATAAGAATGCTTTACCTTGAAGAATTTTTGTTCTTGTTATTTTCTTTCGCAAGTTTATTTCCACCGGTAAAGTTATATCAGTTTAGCGTTGCTGAGCGACGTGAAAAAGCCTGATGACGAACAAGCGAAACGCGACTGAGAAGTATTTTATTTTGCTCGCTGGAGACGCTGCGCAAAACTTGAGAGCTACAGACCTATTCCTCGGCGCATCCTCGAGCTGCTGGCCCCTTCGACACTTACGATTGCCGAATCTCGTGCATATTGTGTTTAATACACGGATCCGCCCGTTCGCTCCCGCCCTTCACAGCCATGGAGCACGACTTCTCGCCAAACCCACGGGGAATCGAGGACAAATCATCGTCCGTTAAGTGAAGCGAGGATGGCTGCCGCTAACCCACATTCCCATCCGCCGTGCACTCGCCCCCTAGGCACACGCTATAAACGCTACGTTTTCCCCGCTGTTGTTCGCTCCGCGCAACTTTCTCTCGTTTGGCTTTGCATGCGCGGGTTCACTCGTGCGCCCCTGCGACAGCCGTGTTGTGGACTCTGTGCACACGGCGCGTCAATTTTTCTGCTTATCGCCGTAGGGGCCTGCTTCTAATCCGCAGAAGAAAACGACCACGGGAATCGGCGTGTGTTGGGCACTCGCAGAGATTTGGTGAAAAACGTCTCTAGGTATGCGGAAAACGGCTCGTCGTCATCCTTGTGGTGCCTTGGTGGCTGTTTGGCTGTCCGCTTCGGTGCTGAGTTTCGAGGGCGTTGGTAAGTGAACGTCCATCGCGAAGACTCCCGCGGCTTTGAGTGCAGATATTCTTCGAAGGCGGTAGATAGAAAAAAAAAGGGACTATACCATAATAAATTTCATTCGCGGCCATACTTTCTTAACTTGTCATCAACTGTGTCCTTGGAACATGTACCATAATACGCCAATGTCCCCTAGTTTGCTACAAAATTTGTAAATTGGGAATATTCAAATCGGAACCTGCAAAAAGTAATGTATGCACTATGCTATACTGGAAATGCGGTTGATACATATCTGAAACAACGTAAAATCGTACAAATAGTTTCTTTTTAAAGAAAAGCGACTGCGACTGGCAAAGTCCGTGCCCAAAAGTTACTCCAGTTGCGCCTGCCCTAGAAAGAAAGAAAAATACCGTTACGCTGCACTCAAAACGAATTTAAGAGAAAAACGACAACAAGAAACGAACATCTTTTTTCACTTAGGCAGAGTAGTAGCCTGAACGAGTCCACGCGATGCAAAGCGTGTGGCACAGTCCCGGCATAGGATAAGCAATCGCGCCGAGCACTAAAACCGAGGCGGAGGGAGTTTTGGGAATGGGCTTGCCCGCCCATCGTGTACACGTGAGGCAAGGGAAAGCACGAAAAAGAAAGGAAAAAAACAAAAAAAACATGTTCACCGTAACATCACCTCGCCGGGCTTAAAGATTACCGTAAGAACGGGAAAAAAATAATAAAAATACACGCCGCTGCAGAGAGACTGTTTGAAGGTGGCGCCTATCTGCTCGCCTTGACGGCTGCCGTCTCGCTGCAGTGCTCGGGGAAGGATGCCTTTGCGGCAAACAGCAAGTGCGCTCCGGCCGCATCGTTGGAGGTCATGACGCCTACGATGGCGAGTTCCCTTGGATCGTGAGTGTTCATGCCGTTTTTCTGGAACGGGTTGGTAGAAATGCTTTTGAAGGAAACGAGGTGAGAATTTCTAATAACTGCGTCATAAGTTTAGTGCAGTCTGCTCGAGGGGTGGTGTTAATTTATTGTATAGTAATTGCCATATAACTGATTCTTAAATGGTGTGGATGAAAAATGTACGACTTACCAGATATGAATTTTCATTTGTACATTTTCAGTGTCAAATTTATTTCCAGGCCTTTCTGTTTTCATGTAAAAAGTGTCCATATTTACAACAGTCTAGATTTCAGAACAAACCATCCTTTCTGAAAGCAAAAATTGCTTTACAGTTTACGAGTAGGGAAAGAACCTTTTTGTTTATCATTAGTTTCAACCATTTAGCTACGACAATACCGTGTTGAAATTTGCTCTAGGCGTCAAAAAGAAAAACATGTTCTGCAAAAAAGATATAATTGTAATTTTTTTTAAACCCGGGAAACTATTAGGCACTTTACTGAGTACTCGCTTAGCTGTCAGTCTAAAGAAGTAAAAAATTACGTAACTGATTGCAGTAAACCAGAATAACCATAATTGATTCTGGAAGAATATCCAGGAAGCGAGGAACAGCCTATAATGTGGCTGTGTTTTTATTCATTACATAACAAATAAGTATTACAAAATTTGTGAATATTAAAGTAAAGAAATATGCAGGGTGTTTGATTTAAATTGGCAGAAATCTAGACGAAAAAGGTTTAGAGTTACACGAGTACCGTATTCAATACGTATCTATCACACCCGGCAGACGTTAGAAGAGAGAATAACGACCTCGGTGAGTTGGGTACTCAATCAAAACCTATTAACGAATGTTTCAGTTGTTGGTCTGACCGGTCGTGTTACCGCTGCAGTGATTACGGAAGTTGCGGTTAAAGGTGAATCTAAATCAAGTCGTTTTCAAAATTCCAACGGCATATATTTTTGTTCTGCGTTTGTGTTACCTGATTCCAAAACTGGACGACCAAAAAAAAACAAACAATAAAAAAATTGTCTACAATATTGCATAGAAGTATGAAGTACGCTGTGTAATGGACAGGACTTCCGTCGTTCTTTCTGCATTCAGTTTTTAAATCAAGTGACAAAAACGCAAAAGCGGATTGATGAAAATCTCGAATAAATTTGGGATTTTGAAAACTTGAAATTTGTTTAGCTTGTAATCGCAAGGGCCGTCAGAACTGCAGCTGTAACATGTCCAATAAAACCAAGAAATAAAGCTTTTTCCCATTAAGTTTAACCAGCATATGTTAGTTAACTTACGGAGTCGGCAATTCTCTGTTATCTAATGTCAGCCGAGCATGATAAATACAGGTGGCGAATACCGTACTCGAGTAACGCTCGCCCTTAGAAATATATATATATATATATATATATATATATATATATATATACCGGGTGTTTCTGCGAAGACTTTCAAAAATCCTAAAAATTAAAGCGTCAAAAAAAAAAGAAAAAACTTTCTTCGGGAACAAACTACCAGCCACGGCGGACGTCAGGAATTGCCAAAAACATAGTAATTAGCCAACTAATTAATTAGAATTTGTTAATTAACTTTTTAATTAGTGGAAATAGACATATGGTTCTAATTAGAAAGTTGCTGAGCGTTATCAAAAATCACTAAATCAGTCATTTTCAGAAAGACTTTGAGCGCGCGAGAAGCGTAGTAGTGCACTAAAGTTACCGCTCTTTGAGCAGGTACAAAGCTAGCGGTTGCGATAAGGCGCCCGCGCGATTTTTCCATCTCTTATCTCGCCCCAGCCTTGCACCTGCTCCACGAGTGGTAACTTTAGTACAATACTACGCTTCTCACGCGCTTAAAGTCTTTCTGAAAATGACTGATTTAGTGGTTTTCGATAACGCTCAGCAACTTTCTAATTAGAACCATATGTCTATTTCCACTAATTAAAAAGTTAATTAACAAAATCTTATTAATTAGTTGGCTAATTACTATGTTTTTGGCAATTCCTGACGCCCGCCGTGGCTGGTAGTTTGTTCCCAAAGAAAGTTTTCTTCATTTTTTTTACGCTTTAAGTTTTAGGATTTTTGAAAGTCTTCACAGAAACACCCGGTATATATATATATATATATATATATATATATATATATATATATATATATATATATATATATATTTGAGTTTAAATCACAGAAATACAGAATACACTACTGATTCTAACAAAAAGACGGTACAGCTAAAGTGATATATTAGGTTATAGAAGTATGTCATTCCTTCCAAGCTAAATTTTACTGATATATATTTTTCAATAAAACCATAGGTGTCTCTGAGGATTAACGGCCAACACGAGTGCGGAGGGACAATCGTGGCAAAACGTTGGATTGTCACTGCTGCTCACTGCCTGCAAAGGTAAACATATGCATAAAAAGTGATTGACAGACTCTTTTTTTTTTCTGCGAACCTTGTTAACCCAACACTTATGTTAACAAGTGTGAGCCCAACACTTATGGTGTTGGGTTAACAACTTACTACTGAATACAAATCGAAATTACAGCTTTAGTGTTGCCACAGCAAAATCACGCACTGTATTTAAAACTTTTAGAATATTCACGGTCATGGCACGGTAAACAACAAACTGACTGGAATCTGTTGCATGTCCCACTACGCTGAGGATGATAGACGAAGCTACGTGATCTTTCTGGTTACATTCAAAATGACTTTTTAGAACAAAACACGTCTAAACAAGTTATTGTAAAAAAAATAATTGGCTTAACACAAATAACTCTCAGTAAAACGGAACACATAAATTTTGATCAGTTGGTGAAGCCTCTGTGCGTTGAAGGTCAGGAAATTAACCTAAGACACCAATGTTCCAACGTTGTTTGCACATATAAAAGAATTAAAAAAATCGAGGCCGTACAGTACAGAAGACAATAAAATGTTTAATAATGCAAGCAATTACCTTCGATCCAACAAAATGTATTTATTTTGCCTCTATGCTACCTCGCAAGTGAAGATTGTTGTGTGATGGTTAAGTAAAGGAAGGCAGCATACTGGGTCATTTAGTGCTACATGCAAACGTCTGGCAGGTGCAATAGCCAAGAACGAGGTGTTGAATCTATAGATCAGCAGCAAAAACAAAAAATTACTACATAACGAGACAAAAAAAAAAACCGTTGTGGCGTCATAAATGCTGTTTGTTTTTATAAATACCGTAACACTCCTACTAAAATTGTACAATAAAAATATAAAACAAACTAGTAGCTTCTACACTTGGAAATGCCGATCGGTGTACATTCAAGCCCTGATCAGTTCTTCTTTAGTCGGAACAATTAAAATAATCTAAGAGAAAATATTTTAAGCTCCATTAATGCCAGTCTTTGCGGGGGAGCAAAGCATTTTGGATGTCGAACTTCTTTGAAAATTCCATGGAAAGATCAAATAAGTTTACTTTTTCATTCACCTTATGAGGACATCAATACTGAAAGTTAAAGTGAATACCGAGTAGTTGGGCAAAATAAAAGCGTTATTTATACCTAAACAACTTCCTGGTAAAATTATCGATCAAAGCTTCCTTGATTGAATTTGAAGCGAATAAGGGTCAACCAAACAAGTCCCGTCTATGGTCGAAGCTCTTGCTGCTCCTTTCAGTGTACATCATGCTGTGTATCTCTCGCAATGGCATTTATGAAAACCTATATATATATATATATATATATATATATATTCGAATTTTTTTCAAATATTCAAATTCAAAATTCAAGTTAAGACTCCATCACAACACACACACACACACACACACACACACACACATATATATATATATATATATATATATATATATATGTGTGTGTTTGTGTGTTGTGATGGAGTCTTAACTGTAGAATTCTGAATTTTGGCATCACCATCATCATCTCGTATGGCTTGCGTGGTCCGACCGCCCAGCGCGAAACTGTTTAAGCATAAACATCATTAGGCTTATAGTGAATGACAGGATGAAAACGGCAGAGCTCCTCTTTTGGATGGTCGGCCTCCCAACCGCGTTCCTACCTTCCGTTGTGCTCTGGCTGCGCGTGCCCGCTCGAAGCTCACGAGACGCTGAAGGAATATCGTTGGTTGGAAGTTAGCGCTGGAGGATGGACAACTGAAGAAAAGCACCCTGCAATTCTCATCATGTCAGCGACTATAGTAACTGGGTATCTGTCTTCTTCGAAATAAATACATAATTATCAAAATTTGAAGCATCTACAGTCTGCTGCAACGTAAGATCAGCAATAGATGGTCCGCTTTCAACACGTGCTCCTTGCCTTTTGGCGTGTTTAGTATCGCGTGTGGCGACGTGTTATGAAAGGTAGAATGCTCGTGGCGGATGCGGAGCATAGGCTGCTGATCGTTTGTTGCAACAGACTATACAGAGCCGGTTCTTGAGCACGCTCCTTCTCACCATGACGACGGTCCTCGCTGTCCCCGTCCCCCGAAACTTTCGAAGGGCGTCGCTACGAAGCCTCCGTATTCGCGTGGGCGAGTACAACCTGTACCAGGCGGAGCTGGGCCACACGTCCCAGGACCTGGTGGCCGAGCGGTTCCTGGTGCATCCTCGGTTCGGTTCTCCCAAGAGGCTCAGCAACGACATCGGGTTGGTCAAGCTGGCCTCAGAGGTCCCGCTGAGCTCGTACGCCGTGCCGGCCTGTCTGCCGTCTCCGGGGGACAAGAGGCTCTACGCGGCCGGCAAGAACGGCACCGTCGCCGGCTGGGGATACGTCCGGGAACTGCGCCTCGGTGAGCAACCGACACACGCCGAGCCCGGGGGGGATTCCCGGCGAGCAGCTGAACGGGGTTTCCGCTCTTCCTGGATTGCGCACGACCGCCGGCTGCCTTGGGGAAGCCGCATGCACGGAGACACGAGGTGTACCGCGCGCTTTAATGACACTGAGCAGTCCGTGTTGGAAAGGCCATTTCATTCAGTGCGTGAAAGTTTAAGAGCTAAGCCCTGTATTTTGGTTGCTCAACGCAGCGAAAAAACAGATCACGGTTGGCTGAAAATTTACGGGCAATTCTTGCTACGTGCCGTGTTGTTTTTTTTTTTTGGATCCGACGACTTTTTTTTATCAACGGCGTTCTAAGCTTCACTGGTTAATCAGGGATGCAGCCAAGTAAAGCAGTGTAAAAGCCCCCCCCCCCCCCCCCCCCCCCCCCCCGCGCTCTCAGCGTTATCGATATCCCAGCCACATCTGCCCCCGAGAAAAATTCTTGGCGACGCCACTGAAGAACATCAAATAAAAAAATAATATTTCTGATTTTTTTTTTTAACGAAAATATGTTTCCTTATCAACTTGGACTGCGCCCAAATTCAGCGAGTGCAGTTTCGATAAGATAGACATTTTTCAGTGTTTTAAGTTTTTCGCTGCAATAGCATGAAAAGGTAGAAACGAACAAAACATATAAATTGTATACAACAGAAAGCAGCAGAAACGCTGCGGCTGGTCAGTCAATTACACGTTTCCACTTTCCCGAGCATCCTCCAGATGGCGCCACTGCCTTTCTCCAGCACAAATAGCTGCGTCTACGGCTTCGCTGTACTATCCTCCTATTTCCCTAGTCCGACATAGTTGCCGTCAGAGTTGGTAATTTCAGGGTTTCGTTTTCCTCATCTTTTATAATGATTAAACAAATTGTAGAGATAATTAATGAGACTTGGGTGAGATAACATTGAAATATTGTGAACCTGCAAAAAAAAATTAGGCAAAAGCATCATTATCCTATATACGCAAAGGACGAAGTTGCGGTTCACCAGAACACGAAGGGTCATGCCCTTTTTTCTTACAAATTCGCGTTTTGGGTCTCCCTTAACTGAATACGTTGCCATCAGATGTTCACTAAAGAATATTTCACATGAAGCATTCTCTCGTTGTGAAATTGCAGCTCTAAATCAAGTTTTCTCGAAATCGGAAACTCTACTTGCCCAAACGCGCAGATGGCATTCCGATTGGAGGTCATAGTTTTAAAGATGCCGCGGCACGGCGCTGTAGTTAGAGGCCATGTAGAGTAAATGTATATGATCTGTCGATGGGGAGATGCATCGCAATAATCTTCTATTTATTATTCATCTACTGCGAGAGGCTACCGTCACTTTTGAAGAAGATGCGATGGCATCCGGTGTACGACCTTCTTTAACGATATCACAGCGGTTAACGTTGTCGCGCTTTTACACAGCGAGCGATCGTGATCTCAGCAGTCTTGGCCTGTTTGTCGGTGGACGCTTCTAAACTACGCCCGTGTTGTAGAAAGAAAGCAATTACGCACTAAGTGGCTCACATAACCCTCAGAGAGGCAAGATGCGTCCTGCCTGTCCGACCTGAGTGTAACATCTTCATTTTGCGAACTCAGTGGGAAAGTATATTCCAACCAAAACTCGACACTCTGCAAGGCCGCTTTCCAGCAGAGCTTTGGTGCGTTTTGAGGCGTAAGACAATTCCTTCGTCAATGAGGAGTTGTCTCCAGCCATTTAGTTGTTGTAAAGTCAGCCTTCTAATGTCAACGCCGTCCAGAGTGGATATTGCTAGAGGAAGCACTGGAAGCGGTCATAAGCGCCAGCACGTTGTACTCTAGATGGTAAATTCGAGTTCCAAACATACGTAGCTAAAATTGGGCACCCAAACGTGGTTCCGGAAGACGTTTCGCGTTACTTTATTTTTTTAAAGGTTAACTCGGAAGAGGTGATATTTTAAAAATAAAGCAAAAACGGCGGGAGCATTTGCTATGTCCTATATTAGACTGTTCGTCGTCTGCGCACTGCTTTGCTAGCTCGCTCCCGGGTTGCTTGCTGAACACAAAAAAAGCTGAGTAGTCCAGTGTAGACGCTGGCGATGGGTAGGATAATCCAGATAAGTAATATTTTTAACGAAATAAAAGAACCATGACCAGCTGAGAGCAAGCTTGTGGATACGCAGTGTGCAGGCGACGAACCTTCGGTATGCGACATAGGAAATGCACGGTCGCGGTTTTTTCTTTTCACCACATGTGAGCCGAACTCTAGAAAAATAGACATAAAAGATTTTGCTGGATGAATTTTGCGTTCCAAATTGCAGGCATGTTCATCTAGGATTCGAATTTTCCAGGGCTTCCCAAATATGCTGGTACAATTACGGTCTCTCCGTCTACGTACGGTAGTTCTAAAGAAAGTTCAATGTTGTTTGGGGTCAGAACGGGTGTGTTGAAACTAAGATAAATGCGATGTGTTCAGCGCCGGGAGAGAGGAGGGGACGGCGTGTACCGCGACGTCAGGAGAAGGACTCCATTTCGCGATCTGACATCCGCCTCTCTTCCACGCGCCCGTTTCCTCACGACCGTAGGGTTTGCGATCATGCTGACCTACAGTTCAGTGCCGCAATGAAACCCCCGAAAAACAGCCGGTATCAGCTTTCACTCCCCGAAGACGTCGAGATAGATTTAAGAAAGCATGGACCATCAACATGGGCCGTTGTGTACGGCATGCACTTCAAGGAGCGCGACTTCGTTTGCCTTCACGTGACGTCATAAGGCACCGTACCAGCCGCCATTGCTCCGAACCATTCTTGTGCCCGTATCTTCTGCAGCATGCAAATCGCAACATAATATTAGTTCTTCTGGGCAAGGCTTGCCGAGAAAAATAAATTCGATGGTGCCAAATGTATGCAGCAGGAGGTACGGGCACCGGAGCATGGTCCGGAGCAATGGCGCCTGATGTGACGTCAATGCGAGCCATGTACACAAGATGCTAGGTAAAACGATAGCGACGTGCTTCCGTCCCTTTTAAGGCGAAAGCCTGACTCGTCCTCTTACGCGAAAAAGCGGCGGCGTTGTGCCCGAAAGATGGTCACACCAATACGTCATCAAGCATGCGCCTCAGAAGTAAAACCCAAAGAAAAGCAAAGCAACGCAGATGCTTTGTCACGGAAGCCTGCGGAGGCGCTCAATGTCAAAGCGGACGTGCCTCAGAATTAAAACACACAAAAAAAGCACAGCAATGCGGATGCTTCGTCACGGAATCCGTCATGAAGCCGGCGGGTTCCGCCGCGCCTCCGCATTGGGGGAGTGTGATGTCACCGCCGGAGCGCCGTGTACGATTGGAATGCGTGGCGCTCGGCTTGTAGGAACGCGCTTAGTGTAGGTTGCTTTCGCATTCCTACACGTCAGCAGAAAATTTTCGGGTTAGCACGTAATTCGAAATTTTCGGGTTAGCACGAGACTTTCAATCGGGTGTTTACTCACGGATTTCAATGGGTGTCTTCACCTGTTGTGTTCCAGTGTTCTACAATAACAGCACCAAGCAAAAATACATCAGATCTTATGTCTTTACCTAAGAAAGCCGCCCCCGAAAAGAGAGTCTAAGAAAAGTAAAAAGGTCCGGACCGAGCGGCAGAAGAAAAGAGCGTTTTTCACTTTGCTTCGAGATTTGCTTCGCAATGTATATGCACCCAATAGCGCGTTAGTTAAACAGTGTAAGATTACAGGGCACGAGACATAGTAGGGCGTCCGAAGTGTTCCGTACGTTGGAATCTCCCTGAACACTCGCTCCGTAGCGGTCTATCCGTTGGTGTATCTGCACTGCTTTGCGAAGGCGGTTTTTAATGCACTTTTTGCTTGGTGTATTTCGGTTGTTATAACTTTAATTGCGACGACATTTTTCAACCATAATTGTGCTAAAAAAAATCAAGATAATCACTAAAAAAAAAACAGCAATTACGAACATGCATCACTCTAAATAAAACGGCTTTTTCAAAAGCAATCTTCATTTCTTTTGTTTTCTCAAAAAACGTGAAAAACATCGGATTATGCAATTTAGAAGCAACACTTACCGCCAAATGCATCAAACGAATCTCACCTATCTTGTGGTGGTCTATTATGCCAATACTTGATATTGGCTAGCGTTACTCTTCCATTCTGCATTAACACCAATCGAGACCGCAGAACAAAAGCTTTCACCATCGGGCAACTCTTAGCGTTCGAAGCTTTTGCAAAGAAAACAACAAACATAATATAAACTGTACACAAAAACTCATCTCCACCCAGTTTTCAGGTATCTGGCATGGTTGCTTCTTTCAGCACAGATGCGAGCTTTTGCGGCGCGTCAGGCATGGCCTTTCTGTACGTAGTTTTTTCTTTGTGTGCAGGTTTCTCGCCGTAGTTGTACCCTATCGCACAGGCTGTCAACGAGCATACAACGACGGTTAAAGAACTATCTCTCCCCTGAAAGAGTCGATTTAGCTTTTTTTTCTTCAATGTCGAATAGACGTTTTGCGCACGACTGAGCAGTACAAAGCTCAGTTTTTCACCCACAGATTTGATGCTGTTTTGAGGTGCTACACCAAGTCGATGATCCGTCGAATTTTTTGTGTTCTTTGCATTGAACTATATAGACGTTCACTTGTTTAGAAGTTTATTGAGACGCCCGAGCAGCCGGGGTGTTCGAGTAGTGACGTCTTTGTTTTTCCCGTGGCCGCAGTGGTACCACCGCGCAGATACATTGTGTTCACGCGTTCACGAAGACGAAGAAGACGATGAGGAGGCAGACGACAAAGCGATTCTAAAGCGATAAGACCACTGGAATAGCGTTTATGTGCTTGCTGACAGGGTATCACAAACAACTTAATTTCATCAAGTACAGTCATGCGGGAGAATCCAAACAGATGTCAGGGCGTCCCAAACGATGAAGCATACGATCATGTACGCGCACATGCCTATACAGCCGTGAAGCCGGAAAGCCATGACTACAAGTAATATGGCGGAGGTACCACTTC